AGGTGCAGGGTAGGACACACTGCGTGCACCAGATATCCCTGAAAAACTGTATCCCAGACACAGGAGTCTTGCACTGAGTCTGTCAGAGTAAATGAGATGCAACAGACCCTGTCAGAGAAGTCTGCTTTCGGGTAGTGCCCATTTTGTTTCCTTTCTTTCAGCAGACAACCTGCTCCTCCATACCAGCGCCGCTCCAGGCGGAGGTCCCACAGCAGCACAGCCTTTTGGGTGGGAGCTGGGAAATCCTTTAGACCAACGTTGATCATAGTTTTCACTTGTCATTAGCATTACACCATTGCTGATGCACTGGTTAAACTCGGTACAACCCTCCTGCAGATTGTTTGAACAGACAAGACCTATCAGGCTGCTGGTGCAGCTGCGAGCTCTGCCATTAGCCTCTGGCTACCAAGGGTGGTTCCACTGCAGATGTTTGATAAAGCACTATGGTAAAACCCATCATTCAGATGGACAAATTCTGGTGAGGAAGCACCTGACACTTTTGATCTTCTGGCCATATAGCCAGATCAGGTAAGCTGAAGGGATCAGCTCTCAATGATTAATTGGAAAAAATAAACCAGAGAACTACCACATCCCCTGGCTATTCAAACATAAGGATGTTTCAGCCCCGATTTTTGCTATTTAAATAGCAATAAAATTGTCACTGTTCACAGTAATTCATTGAACTTTTGCTCTCATTTTCTTCTAACATAAGAATTTGGCCACATAAATTAATGAAGAGCTCAGAAGGCTGATTTAGCCCCAAGCCCAGGCTCAACTACCATCCCAAGATTATACTTGGTTCATTACAGGAGAAAGCTGAAGCACAGAGCACACCAGGTGAAACACAGCAAGTCCACTTCCCTTCTCCCAGTTACAGAGCATGCCTTGCAGAGCAAATCCATCTCAAATTTCATCTCAGCATTTCTCCTAAGGGCAAACTCCATGCAAACACATACACATTTCATCTACATCTCCCATTTCAGCCAACATATCCTCCGATGATTTTAGGCCTCTCACTCCTGTAATTAACAGAAGATTCATGCTTCCTCTTTACCCACCCGTTGCTCTATCAGATAGAGCAAAAGAGTCGAAAACAATTGGGTTATACTGGGTTCTGTACCTAAATGTCTGAGCCTATTTCATGCAGCAGATCCAACAGGACACAAATTAGATACCCCTTGGACAAATAGCAGCAGATCGGAGGCATAGCCTTAAATTAGAAATGCTGGCACAGCTGCAGTCATTTGTAGTGAAAAGCATCCCAAGATCTTCTTAGTCTTTCCTCAGAAACCCATCACAATGCGAGCAGAAATAACTTTGTGCTGTGCTGGCAGCAGCATATCTTCTATCTGCTGTTTTCAATCTGTGGCTTCTGCCAGCACAGCCTGCAGTATCATCTTCAGCTCCAGGTTCAGCGCTGCCTGAAGGAAGGGTGGCCAGCACTGACATACTCCCATAGCTACCAAAGCACACAATGGCAAACATCCCTGATATGTTCCTACCAGCCTACTATTTCCCACTCACATCTGCCATAAGGTGCACCTACCTCTACCAAACTCGCCAGTAGTTTTGGTGTACTACACACAGGTTCTGGGGACATTTCCCAATCCCAGTGAACCCGCTCGCTCCTGGGTGTAACTAAAAGCACCTGGGTTTACACAGCAAGTTGGTGGCACCGAGGTCTGCAGGGGTGATCTGTGTAAGAGGCCAGGGGCCATCCGGAATGGATATGCTCAGTTCTGGCCAGCTGCACAATGTCCACTACAGGATATGATGAGACCATCAGCCAGGCTGGTAGCACCTCTGGCAGAAGATATTTAAGAGTGCAGCAGTGATGAAAAGACTGAGGAAAACAACCCTGCAAAACATATAGATCAGAGGGGTGGGAAGGGGTGCTCCAAATGCCAGAGTGGAGATTGGCCCTGCAGGCTCTGAAGACCACCATGGCAAAGCGGGCTGCTTCCCTGCAGTCCATGAAGACATCAGGACAGACCTCCATGCTGCAGACAATGGAGGGTCCCAAACTGAAGTAAAAGCATGAGGAGAAAGGAGTGTGGGAGGAACTGCTATGGACAGATGGCAACTCCCAACTCCCTGCCCAATCTGCACCATTAAAGACAGTGGGGGGAAGGTAGAAGAGCCAGGAGTAAAGTTGAGACTGAGAAGGGAGGGCTTGGGTAAAGGTGTTTTTAGTTTGTTCCTCCTCACCACTCACCTCTATTTTTAATTGGCAATAAATTGATGTGCATAAAATGACTGCGAAGTCATCCCACTGTCGTTATCTCAACCCATCAAGCTGCTCCATCTTACTCTCTCCCCCATCTCCTAATGAGGAATGTAAGAGTGACTGAGCGGAGATGTGGCAACAAAGTAAGGCCAACCCGAAAGACACACAGAAAGGGGATGGTGGGAGGAACAACACAGTAAGGAAAGTAAATGTGGATTTCAAATTGTCATTAAACAAACAACCTTCTTTCTACTTCTACAATGATGAACCAAGAGAAGAGCAGGAAAAAAATTTTCTTCAAAGAGAAGTTGTACGATGCTCCACTTCAAGTCCTCTTCTTATTCTCAAGGATACCTCCTTGAACTGAGCTGAAATAGATGTTTTATTTCCCAAATCTAAGCTCAGTTATTAACCCCTTCAAATGTCTTTTTGAAAGACTGACACTTTCTTTAAGCAAATGGCTCACACCCCTCTCAACAACTGTTGCTTGGTTTTGTTTTCAAGGCATTGATTTGCTGGTATAAAAGATGATGAAAAGGCCCTTTCAAGACAGTATTCCAGCTACTAAACAGCAGAGTTATTTCTTATGAAAAGTAATTTGAAAAGAACAAAACCAACAGGTATTCCTTCTTAACCTCATAAGCCACGCGCTAGATTAAATGTAACACTTCATTAGGTAGGGGGAAAACCATGGTTTAATTACAACAGTGTAGCATGAACACTTTAGTAGTCGATACCAGGATATTATCGTGATGTCTAAGCTAAACTTGACTTCTCCACAGATACTGTAAACAGACACCCTAAATGCACTAAATAATTGGCATTAAGAAAGTTTATACAAAGGCAGTCAGTTGTTTAATCTTTAAGATGCCATGACATGGTGAGACAAACACGCATACATCAATAAGTACAGAGAAATGTTATGCTACATTTTGGACAGTTCAGAACTGAAAGTGCTTCACATCTACAGGATAAGAAATGGCTTCATCTCCTCATCCCTAAATGATGAGAGCAAAGAAATAACCCTTCAATAGGTTAAATAAACAGTGCCCCTTTTATCCATGCTTATATAAAGTTTCCAACAATTCAGAAGGTCCATGGTGAAATTTACACTCTATGTACAGTATAACAAATTGTAAAAGAAAAACGTTCAGATATTCCTTGGTTCCCAAAAGCCTGAATCTCGCTCTCTGTGCTAGAGCTAAGGACAAGAGCTACACATAATATTAGGTGGGTTTGGGTTGGTTGGGTTTTTTTTGTTTGTTTTTTAAGCTTTTTTTCTTTTTTTTTTTTTGTTTTTTTTTGTTTTTGTTTTTTTTTTTTTTTTTTTTTTTTTTTTTGTAAAAATTCATCATCCCAATCCACCTCAAATAAAATCAGTCCCCAAGTTCTGGTCATATTTAACAACTGCTTGATCCCAGTGTTTAAGGCATGTTCATTAGATATCAGTATAGGGGTACTGTCAGAAATTATCTTAATCACAGGTACTACGTGTCAGCAAATTTACACAGCAATGCTACTCTTTACAATACGATGTAAAACAAAGTCGTGTTATGATCCAAGTTGTTCCTGAGTTAAAATTTGCTAAATACTGCTAAGATTCATGTTCTCCTTTTATACTTCCTCTGGAATGTCCTTTCACATATGCACAATTGAAAGTTAAAACTCAATCTGAGAACGTTCTTGATGTCAGAAGTGTTAGCAGAATTTTAATTATGTCATTCTCGACCCTAAATTTAGCCAATTAGCCATGAATTTGCAGGGCTTAGTATCACTTAGCTTTTAGCAAGACTATTTTCTAAGGATGAAGATCATTGTAAATGCCAGCACAAATTTTTGTGCAACTGCTAAGATTTTGCTAGGAAAAGATTTTGCTATCAAGAACTGCCAAAACCCTAAAGTTCAGTGAGTATATTTAACTAGATATTGTAGACATTCTCAAGTTTTCTTACCCAGTCTGCTCCTTTAGAACTAAGGGAAGAAATCAGAGGAACACAGATGAAAATACTACAAATCTATTCAGCTTTTAAAATCAGACAAGTAGTTCAGATTAAGTATCCTCACTGAATTCTGCAGTAATGTAATCATTAATGTTCTTTCCTATTAAAAAAAAGAGAAAGCTATTCACATTTTTTCTAGAAAGAACAGCTTTAAGAACATTTTTTCATTAGATTCACAATATGCATGATAATTTTTACCACCCTAACCATTTTGGCATCAATTCATTACAGTTTACATAAACATTTGCTTACACTTAAGGAGAATTAATGGGCAGCAGAAAATCAAGATGGCAAAAGGTGCAACTTGGGTCTGCACTATACCTGCACATCTGCTGTCAAGTGAAGAAAAACTCCTGAGAAAGCTGTACCACCTACAGTGTGACCCACAGTTTGCTGAAATCAAGGGGACTCTTACAATGAGCTTGAATGGGTATTTTAAGTGCTCCAAATGAAGCTCAGCATTTGTGGTGATGTAGCATCTCCTACTTTAAAGAAAGAAAAGGATTGTGGTAATTGCACCTAGCAGACTAGGGAATAAAAATGTTCAGGTACGTTCATGATATGCATTTCCCAATCAGTCAGTGATGCAAAAAAATGAATTACAGTACGATGAAAAAAAAATTGTATTTCCAAATTGTTTCCATTTAACTCCTAGCAGGACAGAAACCAGCAGTATGCTGAGAAAACAGGGTGGGAAAGGAACGACTACATCCACACTTTGGGAATTCCAACCCAAATCTTAAACAGTGGCGAAAAAAACAAAGCTCTGAGTGAAGTTTGCCCTGGCCCATGCACCTTATGCAAAAAAAAAAAAAAAGTTAGCTAGAATTTAATTGTTGTGACCATAAAAAATAAATAGCAACAGTTTATTCACAAAATTATGGATTAGATTGATTTTTTTTTTTTTTTTTTTTTGCTTTAACAAACTGTATGATCCATTAAATTACCAGCCAGCTGTACGCTTAAGCACAACAACAAAAAAAAAGTAGTACATAAACACCTAAAAAATCACAGTCAAAAAGCAGGCAAGTACATCAGTCTTCTGGTGGCCAAAGCACAACAGATTAGTCTGCCAAATAAAAGTACATGAACATAAATGGTGGGCATTAGTGTCGTTAAATTTGGTTTTCACCATCAATAAACAATTTCCTGTAGTTTAATACTGTTTCTAAGCAATTGTAAACTGCTTCAAACGTATGTGCAGACATAAATAACAGGAAAGGATTTAAATACACTGGTCAATAAGAAAAACAAGTTTTTAAATTTGCATGTGTGACGAGTGAGCATTTTGGAGCAAATCCATAATTAGCCACAAAGAACTCTGACCCTTCTTAGCTAAGACAGTACTGCCACCTTTCTAACACTTGTGACCGTTGTAAGAACAAGAAGGAAAAGAACAACATATCAGCCCTGATATACCAACCACATATGCATTCAAAATTACAGATATTTACAAGAAAAATATATATATTTAATTAAAAAGCCACTGAAAAACATGGACTTTTAGTCAGATGCTGCACTTTCTGCAAAATGAGGTAATTTAGATGCAAACAAATTAAGTTTAGTAGAGTTCAGGATCCACAGTCTCCAACACCTAGTGTACAGATTGCTTCAGTGAATGGCTTGACTGTTTCTATATGTTCAGAGCAAGAAATCACCAGATCCAGTTAAATCCTGTTTTGTAGTGCTCTTGATGCAACACTGACTAATGTCAGAAGGCTTCCCAGCTCAGTTTTACAACTGGTCTTTCAATAGAAAGAAAAAAAATAGTTATAAATTGGTTTCATCCCAAGATGGATCATTCATGTTCTTTAGAACTTTTCTAACAAGCTTCTCCAAGTCCTTGCGAGCTCTCTGTTCTTCTTCTAATGATTTCTTCATCTTTTTGTTATCCTGTTTAACAGAGACAGAACTATTAGTTTTGGGTTGAGGGTTGGTGTTTTTTTTCGTTTTGTTTTAAGAAAAGATCTTTTCTGACCACACACACTATCAATTACAAATTCAGACGTGTGTTATTAGCTGCTTACAAGTACAATTTTAATAAAATTTAACACATGACAATTGCTTCACATAGCAAAACTAAAAACAGAGATTGAACTATTTGCTATTTATTTGAAGGACCTGAGGGTCCTTCATAATGCAAGTGCCAGTAACAAATGGCCAGTAATCTTCAATTCTTCTGCCCAAAGCTAACCAACAGCAGCAGAATGTCTCTTGTCAATGGAGGAGGGAAACAGCAACAACAGTAGAATAAGTATCCCCCTAAGAACTTCCTGTAATTATACCTAGCTTTAAAATCCTAGAAAAGCATCTGAAAGCTTAATGCATATTAGCTTCCTTCAGTGAGTAAGCAAACAGTTGAAAGTACCACCTCAAAAACTGTTATGTTCTCTGAGAAGTGTTTTGTGACCGAAGTTTAACACACACAAATACCAATAATCTAAGACGACTCTGAATTTCACCAAACACCAGTGCTGAGAATATCCACTAATGCACCAAAATACCACAAACAACAAGACTGTAAGGATGTTTCTGACTGAACCACAGCAATTCTTCCATTTGTTAATCCAGAAGATGCCAAGCTGATGCTGACAACAGTGGAGAAGCAACCCCACTGAAGATGAGACAAGGCCCTCAAGACAAAGGCTCTACGGGTGTTTAACACAAGCAGGTGTGCAATCCAGGGGTCCCACTGGACTCCCATCAGCTGTCATTCACAGAAATTTCTAGAAACAGAACAAGATCAGCAGTTGCCTACATTCCCTCCTCAAATTTTTGAAGAAGTCAAGAAATTTCAACCTTTTCTTGTAAGTACAGACAATTTCACTTGTTGCCAATTCAGGAATGTACTACTAAGAACAAGTAATGAATAACTGATGGAAACCACTATGAGAAGGATCCTATGCTGTGGTTTACCCTTGGACCTACACCAACTAGTGCACCATGTACTCCCAGACAGCTTTTACGCATGAACTTTGGGGTCATTTAAGACCTTCCTAGCTCAGAGATCATTTTTGCCACTTCTCCACCTGGCGACATCACAACAGCAGACCAAAAATGGTCTTCTAAGCTAACATCCCTGATACTACAAGAAAACAAAGTTGGCCTTTAATAAGTCTTGGCCTTGGAAGATGCCAGATTACAAAGTGTATTTGAAAAGGAAAAAAAAGAAGCTGTAAGTTCAAGAGAGGGTGACTTTTTGCTTAGGATCACAGAGACATCAGCACGGCCTCAATGAGGCAGAACTTCTACCCTTTGTACAGAAGCAGCCAGACCACAGTAATATTAGTGAATTATTATTATTAGCTGTACTGTATTTCTAAAAAGACTGCAAAATTTACAAACCTAGAATACATGTTTCAATGTAGACTGAAAACAGCAAAAATACATCAACCGTCTTGTTTCAAGAAACAGGCATAACACCCTTAAAAATACTGGGCATATTTACAGATGGGCAAAGAATTCAGATACACATTTAGAGCTCAAAAATTGAAGTAATTTGAATACAAACACATTTTACTTTAACACAGGAGATTTTATCTGGTTTCAGTTAAAACCAGTTTGCAAATTCACGCATTGGAGAATGGGTTAATTCAATTCTTTTTCACCTACGTTTTGAGAACTGAGTATGTAAAGTAGCATATAAATATGGTTTAAACAGGCTTTGTCCTGTCAATAAAAGATTTTTACAATAACTCATTTGGATATATAAAACATGCTTAGAATATCAGCTGCAACTTCCATACTAGCAACTGAAGCGTAATATACTGCAATTTCCCACATGACAAACAAGCACACTAAGCTACCCCTAGGGTTAGACCTCATTAAAAAAGGCACATGATAGGCAGAGAACAGGATTCTAACTCCTGAAATGAGTATTTGTAGGAGGTGTTCAGATTACTGGAAGACTGTAAATCAAAGCCTAAGTAAATCCAAATAATTATATTATTAAAAATCAAGAGCAAATGCAATTTCAGTCTCTACGTACTTATTTTGCTTGCAATACACCAGAGCTAAATTTAATGCTTTAAACATTTCAAAAGTTGTAGCATCCAAAAACCAATGAAACATAACTAAATCCCCTTAGACACAGGATACATCATGCTCCTCCCAAAGGCTACTAATGACAACCACAAAAGATGGTGGCTATCTCTCAAATTGGTGTTGCTTACTTTTAAAATTGAATCTCAGATATGAATTTAGTCCAAAATCAGAGTTAATTCCTATCAAACTAAATCAACTTACAACCTGCATTTGTTTCAATAACAAGCCTTATCTTTCCATTCTCCATGTTGCTATATATGTAGCAAGTTACTAACCTGTCTTAACTCCTGTACTTCATCCTTTAATGCATATACTGTGTCAACAAGGCTTCTAAAATGAAAAAAAGATCATCTGTTACAATGATTTTCATAATGATGTTTAAATCTACTATTAGACAAAACTGTTAAGTGAAATCTGTTCAACTTTGTGTTAAAAATTCTCTTATCCTGATTTATATTCTTTAACAGCAGCAAGGGACCACCATCAGCTTCTCTGAACAGGTTACACCCCTCAAACACATACTGACCTACAGTAGTTCCTACATTATAGCTTTCTTTAACAGGAAGACATTCAACTTCTAAAATGCACCTTAACAAAAGAAAACAGAATGACACCACACGCCAACTAGAAAGACAACATCAATTTAATAATGAAATCTTAAAGCACTTGGAAAAACTATTTACAAGTGAAGCATAACATTCCGGGGCATAAAAGGAATAAACTGAGTACCATTTGCAGAGAAGTTGGGCAACAAGCATTTAAATGAAGGCCAACTGCACTCACAAGGACTGGCAGCATACTCCAAGCACCTACATCCCCTTCTATTTATATACCATGCACACTGCAGTAAGAAATGGGAGGAGGAAGAGAAGTGCAAAGTTTACGGTTTTAATCTATCATTCATTAAATGTTCTCTTACTTCTCTTCTATAACAGTCTGACCATTACTTTTAGTTTCTTCTACAATGATTTTCTCTTCTTCTGGAAGCAGGACTTGAGGAGCTGATTCTTTGCGGGAACCTGTTGTAAAAATAGATTACAAAATGAGAACCTAGCAAGCAGCACTGGGGAATTTTAATCATTATTTCATTCATTGCACAATACACCCGCATGACCAAGGTATATCACTTTCAATTCCCCCCCTTCCCTTCATACACAGATTACTGATGTTTTTATATTTGGAACCACAGCCTTACAATTAAAAACTATAGTCTAACATTTCCATCCTGGTGATGATAACTCCTCTGCATTATTGATGGGGATGCTACACAGTTCAATGAATAGGGCACTGGTCAACTATCAGCAAGATCTATACAAATTCACCATAGCTGAGTCAGAGAAAGGTAATTATGATTAAGAAGTAGCAATTTAAGCCTCAAGGACAGATTCTGATCTCACACTGATACAAATCCAAAATGGTACAATGACAGAAAAGTTAAAAACATTTTCCCCAGAACACCACAAACAACACAACTGCATATGTGCATAGACACAAACATGCACATATGCTTTAAGACAATCTTTTAGTCACATAAATGTAATACAGCCACCATATTTTAAAATAAGCTTTCAGAAGTACTTAACGGCTTAACAAACAGTCAAAACCTTCCAACATCTTCAGAATACTTTCTATAATTGTTACAGTTTTTAACATTAAGATAATTCATACCAATTCTAACGGTGTAGCTCATAATAGAAGAATCCAACTGCTATGCATCCATTCATAAAGTATGTACTCTAAAAACACTATTTAGACTGCAACAAATTTTTTAAAGATGGGCTGTAAAGTGCTGCCTAAACACCTGTCTAGAATTCAAATACCACAGATAAGACATTAGAATTCTTGCATATTTTGACTAATATACAAGTATTAACAATGTATGCTTGCCTACCTATTTACTGTAATGAGTTTTTACTAATGAAGAATACCTCCATTCCAGCACTGTTTGCACAGCTCAACAGGTATGGCAGAGTTACGTGCCTTCAGGAGACAGCCCCCTCTGAACAGCTGTTTTGTGATAACAGTGTTTCTCTTTCAAAATTCATGATAAAACATCTGACCTCAGCACACCAAGTTAAAGAAATTCAAGCTCACTGGAAAATCCTGACTTTCTAACAGCTGCAGTCTTGTGTTCTAAACAATGAGTTTGTAGAGAACATAGTTTTGCAGCACACATTAAGCCCATTAGACTGTTTAAACATCTGTAACATAGAAAGTAGTTTCCTTAACCTGAAAGTAAAGATCAAACATATCAATACATGATGGTCAAACTTCATGGAATAAAGACAACTGAGCATCTGAGAACAGAATCTCGTCCTTGAAAGCCACAAGTTCTTGATCTTGCGAAGTGAACAAAAACTTTGGAATTAATAACCTCCCTCATTTTGCAGGGAAGGAGCAATCTATAAAACAAGCACAGCAAATCAGGCTCATGGATGTTTGCACTATCAATCTTTAGCTGCAAAAAAGTCACCTTATGTTTATTTTAATTAACTGGTTACCTCTTTGCTTCATTTGACCAAGATGTAACATTTTGCATTTAATGAAATGTTACTTCAGGACATTAGTTGGCACCAGCTACTACTAAATGCTGAGTCTCTGTATCAATCCTTATAATCCAATACAGTTATATACACACATGCATGTAAAAGTCTACACTGGCATATCCTCATCCATGTACAATAAACAATACTACTGAGACAGAATACACTGCTTCATAAAAATAAAACCAACACCAACATTACACACACAATGAGACCCACAACACACATACACACAGTTACACAAGGTAAACTGCTCATGCGAACACTGGCTTTCCTGTGCCACAGAATATCGACTACTGCAGAATTCAGGACATCACAAGTGTGACCCTCACCTTCACTGCTCTCATGTAAACAGAAAGTTGCTTTTTAAACCCCGTATGCACTTGCTAACTATCAAAGGCACAAACACACAGGTCATGTATCCTGCAACAAAGGAGGATCTTGTTATCAACTGAGTACGTGCACAGAAGTGTCAGGTTTGATGTGTCAGGTCCCATTTGAGGTGTTAAGTTCAAAAAGCAAAATGAAGCTATGTAATCGTCCTGCTTTTTTTGTAACGTTTATGCCTAAAGCCCTTATTTCTTTTCTGCATCTCGAATGAACTTCAAACAGAGCATTACTTGGTAACTAGTATTCAGCAATATACCACATACTAATCCTTCGGCCTCCACCAGCTTCTCAGGGACTCCGTGTAACTATTTCTCTTCAGAAAGCATTACAAGCTACAGCTTTAGGACTTGAAGAGGGAGCTGCATTCGAGTACATTGCAGGCTGTGCACAGAGCTGTACTAAGAGGACAGGTCAGGAAGTTGTCACAACTTAAGTAATCCTAGATACTGAGCACACAAGAATCCCTAGTCCAAGCCAAACAGGCAAAAAGAGAAGGTTCGACTGACCACCAAAAATTCTGCTCCTAAATCTCCTGAGATGATTCAACCAGAAGTCCTAGGTTAGAAATAACTATAGTGGAAAAAAAAAATCTCAAGCTTTACTAGAGAGGTTTAGTTTTGTTTTACTTTTTGGTGGAGATGTTAAATGAAGGGAGAAAGAGAGATGTGCAGCAAACTCAAATGACTGCTTCATGATCAGAGAAATATAAAAGCTGAGGAAGCTGCCATAACTTTTCAGTAGGGAAACTCATAAATCCAGAATCTTGGAAGAAAGAGACATCCCATGTTGAGTGCTTCATAATTAAGACAAAGGCAAAATAAGAAACCACTGACATTCAACCTTCACTTAGATGCCAGCAAGAAAGTAAAGGTTCAGCTTTAGTATTTCCCAGCCCTAGAGTGGTAAACAAAGGGTTACTGTGCTTCTTACCAATACTGCACCCTAAACTGGAGATTGAGTTTGCTAAGCCAATAGAATCAAGCAAACAGTAATACAGCCCACCAGGCCTTGAGGCCTTTGCAACACACACACGTGACACAGAGCAGGCCTGTCAGTAGCAAGCAGTTCTCAGCATGTCTAAAAAAAAAAAAAAAAAATGAACCCATTAAGCCAATAACAATATGAAGGCGGGTATTCATTTCCCATTCTTTATGCTGTTAAATTCAGGCCTCATTTCAAAGCTTGCTCCCCTCATAAGTCAGAGAACAGAGCTCTTTCTTCCACTTAGCTGTTCTGAGCAGAAGGCACAACCCGGGTACTTTACATTCACAGTGATGCTATGAGTTTGCCTTCTCCCCAGAGATTATGAGGTTCTACTCTCTGGCTTAAAGTTAGATTCGCAGTGATGGTGGTTCACTTAAAAAACAAACAAACAAACCAAACCCTGAGAATTTCAGACCATCGAGTTTTTACTGCACAACTTCAAAGAATTGCAATTTTATACTTTTTCATACTCTTAATATGATTGGGAAAGGGGGTGAACAATGCACAATAAAAGGTCAAAAATTAGAAATAGTATTTACGGATGTATAGCTGTTTTCTACCGACTTTAATAAGCTCTCTACATAAGCTACATAGATCTCAATTATTTCAAGTTTCAGAGACAGAAGTCTGACTTGCCACTGAAAGACAAATACAAGGGCAGCCCCAAGAGTAATGCCTCCTATCTTATTTGTTGGCCCAAAGTCAGAGGAGGACATTGGTGGTTCAGCAGCAGGGGTTGAACCTTCCCACCAATACCCCATTACACGTTGTTGCCCTGCAACAGATGGCAGCAGAGGGGCAATGTGACACACGGTGCCTGACACAGAGCTGTGTAAGAGGCAAAGGTGTGCAAAGGAATTCCTCCCTGCAGGAAAAAAACTGCCATTCAGAGACACGCGCTGAACATTTATGGACAACAAATGGTGGATGTGAGCACCCTGAGGCACTGAGCAGTGCATTGCAGCAATGGTGACAACAGCATGAAAGACAAGCCACGCTCCTGACAGTCATGCAGACCATTAAATGCATTGCCCAGAGCCTCTTGTTCACTGATGGCAAAAATGAGTAGCTAATGATGGTGACGTTATTGAAAAAGTGTGGCTGAGAATTTGCTCTATCAAATAATAATATTGTGCTTTTTGTATCTGTTACAGCTTTCATGGAAATTAACAGGAGGCATTGCTTTCAGAGCGACCTATGCACGTTCATACACAATTTTTAGACAAGTTAGCCACTGGGTGTATTCAGACACATCATTTCCCTGTGGAAGGAAATGTTTAACAGAAAATAAGAATTACTTATTTAGAACACAGTTTTTCACTGTATTAGTTACATTCAAGATGCTGAAGTGGATAAGCAGACCTGCAAAATTCATCTTCTGTTTCTCCCTGCATTTGCTGTCAAAGCTTCCAAGCTGTGTGTGTATTGACATTAAAAGAATTGAGAGGAAAAGAAAGGCAATACTTCATGCTATAGATCTGTCAGAAGTCAAAAGGGAGTCTGCCCTTAAATATCTTGTGCAAAAATACACAACTTCTTTGTGAAACCTTCAAGTAGCAAAAAAGTCTAGCACAAAAATGGTGTTTGTTTGTTTGTTTGTTTTGTTTTTGTTTTTTTTTACTAGCAGCAATCCACAACTAGGAAAGAACCCACAAGACTCAAATGACAGATCTAGGCAGCTTACAGCAAAACATTTTGATGAATAAAAAGAAAATAATTAGACTTAAATAAACATACAACTCCACATCCAAACTTTAGTCACTTCAGAACAGAATGAAGAGTTTGAAAGACAGGTATATTATTTGAAGTGGCAAATTTTTCAAAGACAATAATTTTAAAGAGTTATCCCACAACCTTTACTACATTTTCACTAAGCAATACAAATAAAAATGCAACCAGAGGGCTAAACCTAAATTTAAGTCATAGCAAAAAAAAAAAATAAAAAGACCTTTCAACAGAACTAGATTTTGTGTTTTGTTCATTTGATAGAACTATTTTGTTCTATTCATACATATATTAAATGATTATTTTGCTTTAAAACACTCAAATATGACTTTTTTTAAAAATAGATACACAAGATGACTTGCTTTAAGAGAAAAATGTACGATATTAAATCCTGAAAATGAATAAAGTTGTAGAAACATTGTAGAAATCAATATATTCATAAACTGTATCTCTGGTAACAGGTTCTGCAGTAGCACATTTGAAATTGTTCCAATTATTCAACTGTGCTTTTATTGAAAATATACCAATTCAGAAAATGAAAAAAGATAATTAAGGAGGGAGGGAGACTACAAAAGCGTTCTGTGAGTGACAAAATTTCTGAACAGTTATTAGAAAATAAACACCAAGACGCGTACTGCACATTATACGGAATTTCCTGCAGTTGCCAATTACATTAAACAAAGATTATACACAACTCAAAAAAGCTTTTTCACTTCAGCATTTGATGCCTCTATGGAGAAGGGAGGGAAGAAAGGAGGTACTGGGAGAAAAGGGAGTCAAGTGTTAAGTTACCAGTTACGCTGTACTTTCCCCCTGTGTAATAATTAAATATTAAAGTCACAGTCTAGCAAATGCAAAATTTATTTCAACTGTACATAACAGATGTCCTTTTTTATATAAAACAAAACACTTAATTGATATATGCAACCACAAACAATATGCATACTGTACAGTACAATGCAACATTCAGATATACATCCATTTTGTATTTTCAAAAGGCAGTTACCTACTGAAAATGGCTTCTCCCATTCACAAACGAAGTGCACAATATATATTAATTTTTCTATGTTTTACGTCACTATATACACATTACTGTGTTTTGGCAAAATTATGCAAAACACGCTATTAATACTCGTTGGCTTCAATTTATAGCAAATACCAATTCATGGGAACACTGTGTAAGCCATGTGAAGAGGGGCTGACAATGGCTTGAACCTACCTTCTAACTCAGATTCTCCATCCTTCCAGTATATTTGTAACTGTACACACATATTTTACAGAATTGCATAAACAGAAGGTACTATTATTACCATGACTAAAGTTCCACAAAAATAGAAACACTGAACCTTTGGACTGAATACCACCATTTCCACTTTGCTTTTTTTGTTGTTTTTTTTTTAAGCATGTTGCAGTAATACTTCTGATCAATTCACAACAGTTAGTGGTCTGTAACACCGCATGATTTAAACGTAATAAAGTTAGAGATCGTAATTATGAACTTTAAATGAAGTTAATGACTTAAGTGCTACAATAATTAATGGTGGTAAACCGTCAAAGCTTTGGTGCATAGAAAGTCAATAAAATCTTCAAATCTTGACAACAAAACATTCTGCATGATATGGAAATTCAAGTGCAGCAACTGTATTTCCAACTTATTTTACACTGTAACATGAAACAGACATAAAAGAATTATCATTGATCTAATGCAGAAAACATTACTTAACTGGAACACCACAGCTTAACAGGGTTAAAAAAAGAAAAGCGATCCAAACTTTCCATATATGTAGAACAAAAACTCAAAGGAAAAAGGGAAGTGAAGTGGCTTACAGATGCACTGTGGAATGGTATGGAGCACACACACGTTTTTCATTTCTCTAAGCAACACTCTGCCTCTTAGGAAAAAGTTCAACATACACAAGTTCCTGGCCATTCAGTTAATATACGACTGCTAGTAAGATGTGCCCCTAAAAATTCTGTTTAGTAAGCATTACTGCTTTTGTTAGTCAAGCCTTCAAATACAAGCAACAATGATAAAAGATAAAGGAGGTGATCAAACAATGCAAGATGAAATGCAAATCTACAAATATTAAGTGTTTTGAAATAGGTTCTCCATGTCGATAACCTCGTGTAATCATTCATATCTAGCAATTACCAACTTTCTGATCATGTAACATGCACGATGGTATTAATTACTTGTAAACTTTTAAATGGAGAGATCAAACTCCCAGGCAGCAATTAATAAGCAGCAATTAACAGCATCATAACTACTCTGAATTTGCTCAGAGTAATAGCTGTACGCTGGATAACAAAGGAATAGAGGAATTGCATTCAGAGATCCTGATGAAAACGAGAACTATTTCTGTCCTTTCATCATCTGCTTCTCTCTAATGCTAAAGAAGATTTGGAAAGCACTTTATTTTTGTTTCAATCCCAATTGCATCATCCACAAGACAGAACACACACTTCACCCCAGCCATGCCCCAGGTACAGGTTCAAGACCACCAGCTGTGTATAAGGTGTTACAGTTCTCTGAAAAGCCAACATGATTGTAGGTGAAGAGCTGTTGCTGAAAACAAACCTGCTCGTGAGAAAAGTTACAAGACACAAAATCTGTCACAGACATGCTCCAAACAGTAAAACCAAAAGCCAAGCATTCTGTTTTCAAGAACTTTGTACAAGCCAGTTTGATTGCAGTTGTACCTAGAGTTTCAGGTGCTGAACACTTGAGCTTTCAGCTGAGGAACGATTTTCATCTCGTCTTTTCAGGAAGAATGGTCATTTGAAAGCTGTGTATTTTAACAGGCAAGTAAACATCTACACCCTGTTTTCTGCCACACTACTGCATACAGTAAAGTGACAATATGACCACGGGTAATATGAGATTATCAAAACACTGCATGTAATGAGCATGGACTGCTGGGTTTTCATGACAAGCGCCAGATTGAGGGTGAGAGGGAGAGCAGTGCAATCCTTCATATAGACGTCTAAGCAACGACAAAGAGACAGCAGTATAAAAACAAGTTCTCATGGATTAGCAAACGCTTTTCCAAACAAATGGGCCAGATATGTGAATCTGAATGATTTCATAGCTCTTGTACTGTTAATTTTAAACCGTATTTTTCTTACTACCAGCTCCATGTTTTGTTAATAATATGTAGAAAATTCAACAGCTATCACTGAAGTATTTCCATATTGCTGGCATTCAGCTCATAAGCCAGTATGGTTTCAGTACAAAATACAAAAATGTGCTGTATTCAAAAGGAGAAAAAAAAAAAAAAAGAAAAAAGGACCTGTTGCTACACTGACCAAAACCAGAAGTAAAGACCATTCAGAGCTACAAATTAATATCTGTCACTTAAAAAACTCTCAAGAAATGTCATCCTTGGCAGGATATACACTTTTTAGAACGACTTATTTGTATGTGCATTGGCAATAGAGCCTTCCACCAGGTATAACTGAAGTTTCAGAAGCTCCCTCAGAAGTTGTTAAAATATCACATTAAAGAGACAAGGAACAGCAAGAAAACATCTAAGAAAAGCAGGCTGTGATACAACAAGCATTTGTTAAGAAAAAGCTCAGAAGTGCATTAGTTCTGGTGAGAGATATATGAGCAACAGCTCTTACGAGATGTAGACCCCATTCTGTAACTATGGGCTGTCCATATACTGTCATAGTCAGAGTCTTCTGAGAGGTCTGAAGGCTCCAAACGAGAAAGACTACTGCGACGACCCAAGGAGTCTAGACTTGATTGGTCATCATCAGCCAAGACGTGATTATGCATCAGGTCAGTGCCTTGCCATGCTAAGGATGTATAGGTGAAATGAAATGGTGGATGTGGATAGGCAGAGGTGGGATGAGGAGGAGAACGTAAGGAATAGCCACAACCAAACACATGAAATAAAAGCAAAAGGTGATGGGAAGAGAAGGAAAAGAGAAAATATTGTTAAAAAGGCACCAAAGCTTTTTCTTGTTTTCATTTTCTTTTTTGTTTGGGATTCAGGTATAAATTACACTCACTGTAATAGTTTTTGAACTGTTACAATAAAATTTTTGAAGCGTTTTTTAAGCTTACAAGCAGTCTCAGTTGAGAATTTTAAGTAACCAAAATCTTGTTTGAGGGTAGATTTTTTTGGATGAAGGAGATCAGTTCTTTTCAAGCAAAGAATCAGTTCTTGTCTGGGGGCAATCTGATTTGGGACAGAGCAATAAACACAGCAAGCCAGCATGACCCAGTGCTAATGTGAAAAGCAATAGCCCCTTCCCCATTACACATCCATACCTTCATCCTTTCCCTCCCTTGCAATGACACAGCCATTTGTACAGCTGCTTGGTGAGCCAGGTCAGGGAACAGCTTCAAATGGTAATTAACCCTTCATTTTTATTTTTCAGGTAGACAATTTCCTACCAGCTCCCAATACAGCCACATAAGTGCTTGTGTCACTATTACAAAGAGGAAAATGCAGGGGGAAAAAAAGCAAGGTTCTCATGCAGAGCAGAGCTGCCAAACTTTCTACATGTGCAGCACCATCTCATACCCACTCAAAGGGATTGCCAAGCTGAAGCTTCTTTGTGCCTGTAACCCTGTTATTTGTTTAACCAAGTAGAAACTGGATTGACAGAAAAACAAGGCCAAGAGACTAACAGCAATACAGTCTGGTGCCTCACATACCCTCACACACCTCTTCTAACTGGCCTCTATCTGAATCTGTCTTTGTATTTAGATACTTTAAACGCTTAGAATAGTTGATAAAGATGATTAAAGACACTTTCTCTCACCTATTTGCCCTTTTTGATTTTTTTTTGTTGCTGTGTTGCTATTTTGTTCTGGTTGTTTTGTTTTGTTTTTTTAAATAAAAAAAAGCCTGGCAGTATCTGAAAACTGAAACTATGTAAGTGGCCATGTTACAAGCCAAAATCTGCACGACACTACAAAAGATTTAAGCCTTCACTTGGAATAGAAATGTGAAGTAAACACAGGATATAAGCAACAGAGGAGACTGACGGTTATTTTATTTGCATATATAACTAATCCCTACATCCTCCCCACCTTCAAAAAGAAAACTCCCATCCAACGTGCACTGGTGCCAAAGCAACACAAAGCTGGCATTGCCTAGGGCAGCACCTCTGGGGCTTTGCATTAAGATGCAGCTAATAGAAATACCAAATCAGTGATGGGAGGGCCAGGTAGAGAACTAACAGAAGTAAGCCACTGATATGTAAAAGTGGAATATTTCACTGATGGGCAATTCTTTCATTCTGTTTTTCTACACTGACCAATGCTTCCACAGAAAGAATCCCAGCATCGTTTTTCCCCCAATTTCCAATTCCCATCTACAAAGGGACCTTCAGAAACTTGATGTCTTAGATGGCAACATTACTCTTTCCAAACAAAGCAGCAAAACACTTGTTTCTCGCTGCAATTATGAGCAAATAAAAGCTGCTGACTTCTGATGTATGCAATGATACCTAACTGCACCATGTATATTTCTTAAATATACATAGAAAGGAAAAAAAAACATCAAGCAAAATATCATATCCATTAGATGCCTGCACGCACAATTGTGCACGTACAAATGTTTCCCCAACCACTTCTTGTCACAGTATCCTTCAACATAATCAACAAATCCAATACAGTTAACAGCAACGTCTCAATTAATTTTGTTGGAACAACAGCGTATCTCCAGAATTTTGAACACATTAATTTCCTTTTATCCAATTCAACACACTACAATAATGACTGCAGAGCCAGAAAACTGGTCAAACATTAATAAAAAATAGTGTTATAGTAGCCAATTTGTCAAACTGATCATTATCACCTTGGAGATCTACAGTTTGTCGAGATCAAAAATTAAAATGAAGGTTTTAGGCTTTTAAAGCATTTGAAGTAACAGCTAATACAAGGGTTATATTCCCATTTTTGAAGTACACACAAATACAAAATTTTGCATTTTTCAAGGTGATAACAATAAGTGAACATGTATTATGTAAATATGTGATCTAAGCCTGCAACTGCACTCTGAGACTTCTCACCTGTCTGTAGAAAGTGCTTCTGCTTGGACATGGGCACAGAGACCTGTGGCTAGCAGTAACAGTGTTTAATACTAATTTAAACAATAGACTAGGAGTTATTCCTAATATCTATCCTTCTAATTCCTGACAATAGCAAAAACAGCCAGGTACTCCAGCATCATTATACAGCATTTCAAGGACACCAATTAAATCCTTAATCATCAGTGTGAAAACGGTGCAAACTGGAACAAACCTAACAGCATTTTCTCCTTTCTTGTGTAAGCAGAACACATGCTGATGGACTCCCCCTGCTTTGAGCAACATTTTACTTACAACACAGAGGAACTCCACATGGCAACCTTGATTTGGATTAAATGAAGGAGGACCCCAGAGGCACGTTACAAGTTTTCAATACGCTAGATATTGATCTGAGAAACTATAAATGGCTTTAAGCAACAGAAAGATCTCAGAACAGTTTCTCCTGAAGTTACGACATAGGATTAAAGTTTGTAATTAAAACTAAAAACAATGGCTGGCAATAAAAAAAACTTTGTACAGGTTCACGTTACTTCTCCGTAAAAGAAAACTGTTGAACCAAATAAGACAGAAGAACACTTCTCCACAAGTGCGACTCATTCTTCGTTCCTCAATACTTACCAACAACTTCTTGAAATTTACCAAAAACCACATTGGACAGCTGTCATATTCTAGCAAGACACCTCAAAACCTCTGATTCATTGGCAATTTTAAATCCAGGTAGCCACTTGTAATTTATTTTAAATAAGCATTGTAAGACCTACATAAATATGAACCTTGGCTTCCAAATACATAATCACTCAAGCACTATTACTAAGCCAAAATCAGATTATTAACTTATTTCAGGTCCAGCTTGCTGTTTATCAAGTTGAGAGACCGCTTACACTACACTTATCTTTTTTTAAAACAACCTGATACGTGGCTTAGTGAGTCGTACCAGTATTTTCTAACTTACTTGAGTTTAGTGTTTGACGTGTTTTGGCACTTGTGCAATATGCTTCAATGACTTTAAGAATTTGAGCATCTTCTTCTAAAGCAGCTGTACCTAGAAACAGTGGAAAACAACAAAATTTTAAATATGGGCATGTGTTTCTTACTACAGACAGGCCTTTGTAAACAATGTTTGTTTAAAGCTAAATTCTACATATTTGAATAGAGACCAAAGTTTAGTCTAATCAAGCCTTTAGAATTCTTAATCATTTCAAAAATCAAGCTTCAATGACTGAAAGTAACAATGGAAAGAGAAATTGCTATAAAAAATATAATGCTTTAAACATCACGATGTAATAGTACCATCTGTGAACCAGAGCATACAGATTTGTTTTTTGTAATTTATTATTGTGACAGTAAAGCCAACTGTCCAATATTTTGTCAGGATTGCCTGACAAACTAACTGCTGAAGTATCTTGACTAGGTATGGTTTACCCATAGTTCAAGAGCTGCAGGCATTCCAAAGTGCAAGTTCCCCTTCTTTCAAGGCAAGAAAAATAATTGAATTTTGTGTTGCAGTTACAAAGCAGCACCATATCATTACCATAGCAAAACAAATATTTCACTTCTGAAATCAGTACTGAGAGGGCACTCAGCTGAAACGCCTTTCTTTCATTTGTCTGCTATAAAACACAAACCTATCTATCAGAAAGCTTTAGTTTTGGCAGAAATCCTTCAATGGAAAACTCTTACATCTCCACAGGCTGAAGGAGCACTACAATAGAACTTAAGCTTCTAATTACTCATTACTTCTAATTACTGGTGGGGAAAAAAAAATCTCATTTTAAAGGTGAAGCTTCTATTTATGCCTGATGCTTAGGCTGATGAAAACAGCAACTCACCACGTGCTATCTTCTACAGCGAGGAATAAGAACGAACTAGAAAAAAGTGCTCTTTCATATTACAGAGAGCCATAACCATACTTAGCTACAAAGGTTTTTAAGAGTTTGGACAGATTTAAATAAGGATGCCTCTTATTTGGTCAATTCATAATAATTTTCTAAAAATTATGGAAGGGAATCATGTTTAAATGAAGTGTGAGCCAGATGACAAACAAATATTTAGAAGCTTCTTTCAAGCTATAAACTTTATCATGAAAGAAAAACATACCCAGAGATTCATGGAGTAAATGAGGGCCATGACTCACACGCATATACACCATCCAAGCCCATACAGAGACATTTAGTTTCCATGTAATGCTGAGTATCAGAGCTTGTTACTACCTCAGCTCTCACTGATACTTTAAAAACTCAGTTAACTTGGGTTTCTATAACCAAGATATACTTCTAATCTATTCTGAACAAACAGAAGCTACTCCGCATATTTACTAAAAGACTATACACATGCTGCACACTGAATGCAATAAAGCAGACCTAAAATACTGTAGCAAGTATCAGGGACACGACTAGAATGGAGTGCATTGTATAATGCTGGACAATAGACAACCAATTTACTATCATTTTGTAGTTAAATCTAATTTTCTTCCTCATGCCAGTAACAAGATGAAAACTAACGAAATCCTGAAAAGCTGTCTGATAGAAGGAGAGACAATGTTAACAGTAACATACTTCATGTATTCAGCAGTCAAGGCACATGACTTAAGAAGCTCACGAGCAAAGGGCAGACACAAAAGCAGAAGTTGGAATAAAAGGTTCTGGCCTTCAAGTGTGAACATCAGCTATTTTAAACACCTTATCTTTTAGTGACACAAGCAATTGGATCATCCATTCCCACAAATTTACAAGGCACTTCAACACCCTACATCACCTGACCTAGTCTGCTTGTCTGCTTCAGGACCAAGCACCTTTCTCTGACCACATAGTAGCCTGCAATGATTGGATCTCATAGAACACATCTGATCAGAGGGTATGAGTGCCACCTAAAGTAAAGGTACCAAAAACAGTTACTTGTTGGTGGGAGCAATAACGTTATCCAAGTGGTAGAAGTTAAAAAAGAATTTCTAAACATACTGAGATTAAACTTGCAAGCTATTTAATTGCTAAATAGAAAAAGCAACACAGTACAAGTGCTGCTGACAGACTCGTAATTAGAAATAAATAAATTTCTGTGCATCATCCTGCTATTTCTGCCTTCCTCCCCACACTTTTTTTCCTCATCTACGTACACACATTAACACAGAAAAGCAGGATGCCTCCCACCTAGCCTTGGATAAGTTCCTGTATTCTGTAGTCAACTGCATGACTCTAGAAAGCTGCTTATGCCAGTGTGACGTAAGTGCCTAAGGTGAATAAATGAAACAGTCCTCTGTAGATACCTACCCTCTTTCCCCTGCCAGGGGAGAGGAAACCAGACTATTTAGACTGTACATCTAACTTGTAAAGATATTAAACTGATGTTAATTCCAGTCTTTGTACTATGCAGATATTTGTTCAAGTCTCTTACTTTTTCTCAGTGCAAATTCTTCATCTGATGGCTTCCGTTCTGGCTTGCGTTTGGGAAGCAGCTTTTTCATGGTTTTAGGGCTCTTACTTAGATCCTGTGTGGGGAGAATAAAAAAAATAAAAAAAAAAAAAAAGAGTAGAGCTTCTCTAAAATATTTCAAAGGTTAGTTCCTAAGACACATGGTGCCATAATTCAGTTTATTAATATTCTTTGGCACATGAGATTTGCCTGAACCAGCTCATTTCGTTTCTATCCCTCCACCAACCATACACTAAGTTGGGTATTTTATCTGTTCTGTGAACAGAAATATACAAAAAAGCTGCAGCAAAAGCATGCAGGCTGTTTGGGAACTGGAGCAAAAGCAGCACAAAAGCATATATATGCACTTTTTTCCCTTAACCTTTGAAGAAACAACCCATTTAATTTGTCTACTTAGAAGCAGGTTAAAAAAGAACCAAAAAAGGAAGCTTGGGAGGTAGTATACTTATATTTTTTAAAGTCAGCATTTCTGAATGTTTGGAGCTTTATCAGAACAGACCTACAGCAAAAAGAAATACAGCTACAAACAGCATTTCTGCTCTAAATATAGTCATGCTGATTTAGAGAAACAATGCTAACTTTGAGAAACTGCTAGTTTTACAGGAACAAAAAGGAATATTCTCATCTACCCCTTACCTTACAGGTATGAGCCATCCTCTATAAAAGTACAGAACTAGAGGGTAAAAAGGTGAATGGGCAGGACAGACTGGAGATGATGAAGATAAACTGAATGCTGTCATAGGTTAAACACCTGAGTGTTTAAACACATGAGTAAAACTTAACCATATTGGAGAATGCAGCGCTGTACATAAAAGACACGAAAACAATTTAACTTACAAAGAGATGAATATGTAGTAGAGCTAAACTGGAGAACTTCTTGTAGCAACCAAGCCCAAATACTAACCACTTAATTGAAGGCCACCTATCACTTACACCCTGCCGCTTAGCAGATGTACAAAGCGAGGAAAAAAGAAAGTCAAAACTGTCACAAATGCACACCCAGAACAAACAAACAAAAAAAACCAACCACACTGCACTAGGTTGTGTTTAAACTGCAAATTCACATGCCTTCAAAATAACATTGTTCTCTTAGCATCATATGGTTGAAGACAAAAAATGTTCACAAGCATAACTTTAGGCAGCTTGATCTAGTAGAAGGTGTCCTTGCCCATGGCAGGGGTTTAAAACTAAATGACTTTTAAGGTCCCTTCCAACCCAAACCATTTTGTGATTCTATGATTCCAAGTTTACTACTCTTTTTGGGTCCTGTTGCTTTGTACTAAATTAGAATTGTAAGAATGCATTACAGAAAAATACTAAACCTGAAGATATCACCATGACGGGCAACATTCAGTATTCTCCTTCTTACAAGCAGACCTTCATACATAAATCTAATAGTTTCTCAGTATTTACAAAACCACGCACAGTGTAATGGAAAGACCAAATTAACCTACCCCCATCGTTATTTCTCTTAGAGCAGATTCCTGCTTCATACCATATGCTAATTAAAAACTACAACAGCATCTTAAAATCTAAGCTGTGAACCAAGAGCCCATTATATCCCCACAGCTGTTCAGAATGATTTCATACTGCACTTTCAAGAACCAAAGATCCCTTATACTAGATGCTCCTCAGTATGCTTAGCAAGCAACTCTGCAGTAAGCTAGAATGATCAATTGCTAGTTTTTGTTGGATGGGTTTAAAAAAAAAACAAAAAACAACTTCTTAACAAGACAAAGTTGGAAAATAAGTGGAAATACCTGGCAGGGAGGAAAACGTGTCAGCATACGCTCCTAACAAACCTTTGAATCTTCTGAGCCATGAGAATAAATGTCTACTTGAAATGAACAGCTTTCACTGTCCATTACCACTGATTCAGAGCTAACTCTTAATGCACACACACAAAACTGTAAAATGTTGGTATGTGAGTTACATTTCTCACCGTAGTCAGGCTATGCAGTAACATTTTTTGTCTGCTGCACCTCACCTCTTTGTAACAAAGCGCTGCTGAAGGCCGTAGTGGAGGTGCGGGCCGTAAACAGCTCAGACTCCAGGGCTTGGGTGTTTTAGGAGGTTCCAGAGGTCCCCAGTTTATCGTGGTATGTGGAGTCCCATGATGTGACGGATGAGGGAGAGTGTGATATGCAGGAGTCAGTGGTATCTGCTTGCTGTCCGAGTGCTTGCTGGAGGGTGTCACTGGATGGGAAGGAAGCTGTCAAAGAGAATGGTTGTGGGAAGGGAAAGAAAGCATGTCATCATCATAAAGGCAAACTATCATAAAGATCCAGTGAAAATCTCTCATCTAGTCCTTTTGTCTATTACTTAAGAGTTTTTAAAATTTTAATACTGAACTACTATTTGGAAAAACTGAGCATAAAAACATTTTGTCTAACACACAGAAAGCATGCATTAGAGAAAGAACAGCTTCAAGCAGCCTGGCTCCCATTTCTTTCACCACAAGGCTCAGAGTTAAATTAAGATCCATTCGCATCAACTCCAGAATACAAAAGATGCCAACAAAAGGAAACTGTTTCTCCACAGACTCAAGTACATCATCATCAGTTAAAACCTACTATTCGAAGGATACTTAAAAGATGATGACATACTACGCAGTCAAAACAGAACTGCCTTTTTTTTTTCTTTTAACCTTGTTAAACTATTATACCAAAAACTAAACATTCTACTCTTCCCCCATGCAATTAAAAACAAAACAATATTTTGAAGCAAACTGTAGTTGTAGCATGTAGTTTTTGCTACTAATAGTCAAAGAAAATGCTTAACATAGCAGCACATTTGCCAGATAACCTAGTTCTGTACACACTACTGATTCACTTCAATGACAAAGTGTTTTCTTACTGTGTGAGATGGCACAGAATGAGGTTTAATGGTGGGATTCCCAACAGTTGTGACTTTGGTTTGTTTCTGCAGGTGATCGACCCACTCATGCAAATCTTGTTGGTTGTTACATGACACTAATATCCTTTCAATCATAGTTCCTAGGTGACATAAAAATAAGATGCAGGAAACCACAGAACAACTTAGTCAAACTGACACGACAACACATGATGCTCATTTCATAAAACATTATATTCATCAATTACTATGCAAAAAATTTAACCAGTATTTTTGGAAAAACAGCAACATTTTTCTATGCGATAACATTTCTTCTACATATTTATTTGTCTATGAAGCAAAAGAATTATACCTGTTTTTCTCTCTTTGATAATTAAACACAATTATTACAACTATTATATGTAAGAGACAGGACCACCCTCAGCTCCAAAGGGTGAATCCAGTAGCTTTATACTTTTCCATCTTTCCCAGGAAAGCTAATGTATAGCCTACAACGTCACCCGTTAGTCCTTAAGCTTCAGCATAGGAAAAATCATAAAGTATTGTTCAGAGAAGGTCTTGAGGTCAGACCAAATCTAATATGAAAGATGAGGCAAGAGTCACTTGGGAACACCTCTGGAAAATTTTACCAAGGGTTACCTCTAATTTCTACAGTTAAGTCCATTTTAACCCACCACATTCCTCATCCGAGGTCAGCTTCATAGCTGTTATCTCAGAAGAACAAGTACCATCAACTGCTTTTTCCCTCCACCTCGAAGCACTGATGTGTTACGCTGCCTGCCACTTGAGAGTCTCAATATTACTTCAGTGAAACACAACCTGCTTGGAGGCAGAAATGATCCAGGAAACAAATGAAGGTGTAAGTCTCCACTGTGGGGATTTTCCTCCAAAAGTATATTCCTAAGATTCTGACTTTATTGGGCCCAGGGAATTAAGTTACATGCTAAAACAAATCACTTGATAGACAGAAAACATCCAAAACAAGCACTACCGCAATCATGAACAGCAGAGCTACGGAAGGTCTCTCAGTAAAGAGACTGACCATTTCTAAAGGAAAGATCTTGATTAAAGCTCCTCCAGACTGTCTGAAATTCCCCTCCTTACAGAGAGCAGCACAGTCTAGTAAACAGCAAATAAAAATATTTATAACTAGTACCTGATATTTCAAATGCATTTTTATGGTTTTCACTGTCTTCTAGCTTTGTGATAGTCATTCCAGTCATTGGTAGCTTCCCCTTAAAAAAAAAAAAAGCAGTTAATGATGAAGTTGAAGCCAAAATACACCAAAAAATTACCAAGTGAAATGTATACAACTTAAAGTTCCGAATGAACACAGGTGCAACACAGTAAACTGGCAATCACACAAATACATGCTGATGGGTTTAAAATATTTTCAAATCCACACAGGCACTTTGTAACAAAAGTTTTCAAGCCAAACACCTGCAAATAACACCTGTGACTTTATTGAGTCTATTTGATACCTATGCAGGCTACAAATCCATACAAACATAACAGCAGTCATCCATCACAGTCTCAAGTTCTGGGAACTGAGACATTCAGGGTCATCCCTGTCACAAGATCAGAAGCAATGGTGACTGACCTGAAAGCATACATATCTGCAAACAAATTTTGTTTGTGGTATATTTAGAAAGGAAGATTTCATTAAATAAATCCATCAATTATATACTGAAGACTTACATCTCCAATATCCACACTGCTATCAAACTCACTCTGAAATATATTAAGAAAACAAACCTAATCTCATTTTAAGCCCAACCAGTCTGGAAAAGTTGGTTTGGGATAACTTTTTGTCCCTTTCAAAACACAGAAGAACAGGTAAAAATGCAACGCTGTCAGGATGAAAGGCTTTACCAAAAATGCAATGTTATTAAGAAGTTCTCTAAGACAGATTCTTTATTCTCTTGCACAGAAGCACTATTCAGAACACGCTGGCAAAAGTGCAAATGCAATGCGTTGAGGAATTTTGGCTCCAAAGAAGGGGAATTTTTTTTTATTTTTTTAAAGTGACTGCAGGATGGACAAAGGCTTCTTACAAGTTGATCTGAAATCACTTGGTGCTCTCTATGCACAAAACATGCTCAATCATAAGATGCCAAAGAAAAGATTTTTTGCTACAACTTTTCCAGTGAAGGAAAGATGGTAGTGCTGTACCTTACAATGCAGCCTAAAATCTGTTTTCCATTTTTTGCTGGTTCCTGACCAACACAGCATAGCCACACTGAAGTGAGGTGCAAGAATTGAAGATACAAGCAAAAAGAGAATCTGGGAATGCACCAGGCAAGAGACTGACAACAGAATGATCATCACCTGAGCCACATGGAAACCAGAACAGAGAGAGCTTGCTTTCTCCTTCCTTTCAACAGACAATTGTGAGACCCTCTCATAAAACACCATTTGCACTCCTGACAACTTCCACTTACTACTGCTAAATACATTCCCCATTAACTCACATAGCAAATACCAGCACTATGACCCAGAACACCTGACATCTGCTGACATCAAATACTCAGAACTACACAGAGAATATACTGTAAAGTCAGAGAAGCTGCAGCTTATACCTAAACTTCAACGATCAGGAACTCTCTTCTTTTCTCAGTTTATAAACATGCACCAATCAGGAAAAGAGACAGTAAGGCATAAATCAGGTACAGATGCTGACTTCAAGGACATTCTTTCTTTTGGAACAACTGGGGGAGTTGCATCTTTCATCTGCTCATGTCCTACTTAGAAGACAAGAACCTCAAAATAGAAATCCGGATGGCAAATGCCATGCAATCCTGACACAGCTCCAAAGCCACTGCCTCACTGTCTCACTCTCCAAGCACTGTCTCAGAGTGATTAAACAATTTTGCCTTGCTATGAGAATGCAGACATTAGGATTTAAGGAGTGCTTAGTGTTGAGGAAAAAAAAAAAAAAAAATCACATTAGAACTTATGAGAAATTAATAGTTTAGCATTCAACAGAGGATTGGGCAGTAAATACTAAGGAAGTGTCATGTACATACTGAACAGATGCTGAAAATAAGTGCACAGAAAATTGCTTATTTACTGAACAATGGTGTGCACCTGAAGGACAAAATGGGACAGCAGCACAAAGCTAACAGAAGCTTAATTATCTAACTGAACTACCTAACACAACACAGTCAGATAAATTCAGCTACTCCCACGAATACAAAAAGTGAACTTCACAATTTAATTGCTCCTAATAAAGTCACACAGTTTGTGACTGGATGCAGACAACCACGTAGGATTCCCAAATGGCAGATGAATCACTACTAATGAAGAAACAGGTTTTTTTCCCCTCATTGTTTGAGGTTGTTTTCTTGGTTTTGTTTTAAATGAATCATCAGTTCTTGTTGCAGAAGCTACCTTTGCTACTTGTGAAAGTGGAAGTTTAACAATCCACGTTTTCTATGAAACATTTGGCAAAAATACATGCCAGCATTTACACAGATGTAAACATATTACCTTACCTGATAAATGAACCCACTCATTCTTGGGCTGGCAGACAACATTAACAAAATGTTAGGGAAGAGAAGAAGATACCTTTCATTCTTTTCCTTATAAAAAAAGAAAATAAAAAAGTAAATACAACATCACAAAAACCCTTCTCCCCTTTTCATGTTTTACATTATTTAAAATGATCAGCAAAATCACAACTCTACAGTTACACCACAAACACTTGTCTCTAGCAAAATTAAACTCCCATAATGGTAGAACAAGTGAGAATTTTTTCATTTTCTTTTTGAAAACTGCTAGTGACATGCCTATATTCCTTTCTGGAAAGCAGAGCCTTTTCATTTAAAGAATTAATTTTTACAGTTTGGGTGGAATACTAGCCTTGTTTAAGTTAGTAACACCCAATTTGCTGATTTCACTGAATCCAAGAACATTAAAAATATATGTATATACAACACACAAAACTTGACTGGATACTGTTGCTACAATGTCAAAACTTCTGTCTCTCAAATATAAAATCAGATTTTTACAAAATATCAGATTAGCATCAGAATTAGAAAAATATTATGAAAGTATTAACGCTTATATTCAGAATGGAAACAACATTGCTTCGTTCTCTTTTAATCTGATGGTTGCACTTAAGATTAGCATTAAAACAAAGTTTTGATTTTAATGACAAATATATTCTTTTTTTTTTAAGTGATTGCTTCAATTTCTAACACCTTTGCTATACCATACAGCTTCTTACCAAGTTTAAATGTTTCTATTTGTTTTTCAGTCTTTACAAATGCGTGCATCATTTAAAAGACAAAAAGCAAATGCTTTTGCACAAACTAATTTGTTCTATATCTAGTCAAAAAAAAAATGCTACGCAGAAACTTCTAAGGGTCCATTACATTTGACATTTTAATTATAATGAGTTTGGTGCAGACTTTTTCTTTCTTTAAAACAAGATGCAGCAGTAGAAGATGCATTATCTGCTCTAGTGATAGATATTTTATTTTAAACAGCTAACACAGTATCTGGTAGCAAGATATGTGGTGACAAACTTTAAAGAATCCAGTTGCAAAAGCACTTTCCTCTTTCCTCATACATAAAGGAGGAAACTGATTGAATATGGTTGCAATACAAAAACTCCCAACAAGTTCAAAGCTTAATCGATTACACAGGAGAATAGCTTATTGTTAAACCACGGCAGTATCTATTTACAAATGAGAACACCTATCTTCAAGTAGCTTATTTCCTATTCTATCATAAAAGTCTTAAATCAGCACAGGAAGATTTTATTCTAGAAAAATATAACAAAGTATTTTTATTTCTGCTACAAAACGATTACCAACTTAACTGCAAAAGCGAAAGGAAGACTGACAGTAAAGGTGAGAAGTACATTACCTCACTTCCAGCACACTGAATCATGACCTGGGACATGTAGATCACATTGCCAAGCGTTTTAATATCTTCCCCCTCCCAACAGCGGATTGCTTCTGTTAATATTTGTAGTTCAAGTTCTTTCCGTTTCCGTACTTCTTGACATTGTGCCTAACAAACAGAGGCAAAAATATTCTCTTGTATCAACTCTATCAACATGGAACAGGTTGAGGGTAGAAATACCACCATATATTTACCATTGTCACTGCAGTACACAGCAGACAGTACCTGAATATGAAGCGTTTTTTATATTACAATTACCAGCATAAAACTAATCTTGCTAACTTCAATATTATTTCTTTCTTTAACAGACCAACTTCAATTACAAATTCGTAGTCACATCCTCATTTTTTAAATTTCCTTTCCTTTACATTTTAGGATTTGTAACACAAAACAGCTAGGCTAAGCAGGAAGCAGTAACACAGCTGTCTTGAATCCATATGGCTTACACACAAAATGGACTTGAATTAGAAGAGACTTGTCAATTGTGCAAACTGAATGCATACAACCTTCTGCTCCTATTTCTGTTACATTTCCTGCCAACTTATTTTCACTAACCATACTCCCATCTTATCTCACTTGAATTTTTCTCAAGAATTGTTTCCTCTCATTTGTGAAGCACTCAGAACTGGGGATCCTCAAACCTCTTCCGAACACAGAAAACAGTACAATTTCTGCATTAAAATGTAAAAAAAAATAGGAAGTGCCACCTAGCAGGATACACTGCTAACAGGAAACACTAAAGTTAAGTTCACTTTAATTGAGAATGCAAGAAATACATCTCTTGCAGCTGTACTTCCTAAATTTAAGAGTTGCACTCTTCAAATTGAAGATTTATTGTCCTTTAAATGACAATAACAACTCATCTGTTCCAAGCAGGCTTATTCTCTTCATTACTTAAAGTTCCTACATTCCCATCCTCATCTGCCCATCCCATTATCACTTCTCCCTCAACTCCAATACTACACCCCAAGAATGAATGCACCTTTGTAAAATCTCAAAAATACAATCTTTAGTCACAAGTGCATATAGAAAGGAAAAGGAAGCACAAGAGAGCAGACAGATGCAGAATGCTCTTCTGTCAATAGTCTATTTGCTGTAGCTCCCCAACAATCTGCAGTTCTTAGCTCTGCCCACAAACTACATTAATCTCCAAAATCCCAAAACTTTCACAAAATTTTCTTATACAGATGTGTACAAAAGTGTTTCGCATTATAAAAGCAACAGAGATTAAGCTGGAAAGCATGCTGCTGAAAATACACATGATCTATTTTTCATTCTGCTTACAGAAAGGTTTTTGAAGGCTGTCATGGATTTTTGAATATCTGGACGATCTGGATGATAATCCTAAAAGCAAGGAGAAAAACATACAATAAAAATTTTAGTTTTAGTAAAAATAATAACAAAAATGCTTATAGGCTTACCTAAGAGCAAATAAACTATGCCACAAAATAAAAGCTTTTCAACCTTTCTGTTCTCTTTCCATAGTCTTCCCATTCAAAATACTGGTGATCTTCCTCTCAGTAAAAGTGAAATAGAAATGTTGTCGATGACTCTTAAGCTTACAACAGGGTCAAGGAAATTTTACAGGTCCTTCTGGACACAAAAAAATTGCTTACCAACTTGAACTCCTAATAGGAAGTGTAGATTTTAAAAGGTTTTATTTGGCTTGTTGCCTTTTACTATAAATAAATCACATTTCCTTCAGAGTCATTGACTGACAAACTATGTGACTCAGAAAATAATAATAGTTTCTCTTTCTCCTTCACAGCCCACAAGTCTCGCCTATAAGATGAAAATGCTGAAAACAGTTAATCTTCAAACATCTTCCCACTATGGGAAGATCACTTCTGCACAGTGTTCAGTAGAACTCAAGATGTCTCCAACAGGTTGAAATCCTACGATGAAAAGCAGCACTCCTACAAGATAAAGTTGCCTCTAGTTGTGTGCAGGAAACAAAAAAAAAAAAACAAAACCCAACATCAAGTCAACTGCAGACCCTGCAAGACTGTTCTAGGAGTGAAGGTTAGCTTCTCTGCCTAGCTTTACTGTAAATGTTCAGCTTTCTCAGGAAGTCTTACTGCACCGCCTTTTGAAATATGGCAGCCCATACTTTGGAAGGCTGCAGGAAGAGAAACAAAAGTCATTTGGGGTCCCATCATGTTTGACATGTACCTTTAAAATAATTGTTGTCAAATCATCATTAAGCTGGAACATAAATGCTGATAAGATATACCTCCATGTGCCTTTCAAGCTCTTTGAGTAACGTGGGGTATTTATCCAGACGCATAAAAGGTTTGCTGAGGCCTGTGGTCAGTACAAGGATCCCAGGACTGTTGGCACCTTTCACCTCCATGAATTCTCCTAGCTCCTCACTGCACACACAAGATATTTAAGCAAATTAACATCAAGTTACCAAGAAAATTAACAGTAATTAGATTCTTCTCTTCAGTCTTTCACACGCACTAAATTCTGCAGATAAAACATTAATTCAAATAAACTAAAAAATTCAAGAACTCAAGTACAAGTTAAGAGTTCTCATCTGATCAACTAACCAGCAGCCATACAAATAGTAAATAATCAGATACTGGTGTGCAGTCCATCCCCATGAGCTAGAGTTTCAAGGTCTTTGAAATTACATAACACATTTTTGACATCAGCGTTACTTTAACAAACCAACACTCTCCAAATATCATGAATTGGTATTTCCTCTACACATGGTTCTTCATATTTGCATCACTTCTCACAACTGACTTGCAGCACATCCATTCTAGTTGTTACATAAATTCTCATGTCGCTTTGCTACCTTTTAATGGAATTAAAGTTCACTTTGCTACCAATGAAGCTTATGTTATTTACATTCTCTGCTTCCTTACACAGCAGAAATTTCAGAGAAATAAGGTAGAGGACAAGTTGCTACGGGTCATCTAAGCTTAAAAAAAATAATAATAATAAAAGAATTAAAAACCAGCCTTCTCTTTGAGGAAAGGAAGGTACAGCAGCATCTGGCCTTATTTCCAGGCTTGAGGAAACACACATTGCAGAAGTACATGCATATCTGAATATAAAATCTAATTAAGAAAATTCAGAAAGCTACTTATTAAGAAGAAAATCCTTTCTGCATTCAAGCTATGCCATTTAAGTTATCTGCAGATGGAGCTGTTAGCATTTTGAGCAGTTGCTACTGTAAATTAACTAGTTCTCAAACAAACCCCTATACTACCATGTGATAATCATTAAAATCTTTTGTAAGCTATCCTGAAAATCATTACTTTCAGCTCATTAACAACACTACTTCCCTGTAAGTCAAGGCTTAAAACACTTGTTTGCCTTTGTAGTCTTACTTTGCAAAGAAAGCCTTTGCCAGCTGTCAGATTAAGTTCTTTTGAAAACAGTAAATAAATTAAGAAAATGTAACTGTTAAACAGCTATTTGCAATAAAGGAGGAATACTTGCACATTAGGGTCTCATTAACAAAATTCTTTCACTTAAGCCTAGGTGACAATCTAGGAGGGGCAAGTTTCTCCACACTTAGGGCACAGTGTTTTGATGTACTGAAATGAAAGCAAATCTTGGTCTGTTCAGCTTCCCTAAAGATAAAACAAACAAAACACTGACAGGACATTGCTATAATACATAAAAATACATAGGTCCAAATAACAGTGAGCTGTCCACATAGAAACACAGATTAAGACAAAACTGACCCTGTCTATCCCTCCCCCCACACACACACCCCTTCCCATTTCAGAAGGACTGACACTTTTATTAGCACAATTTATCCAAGTAGATAACGAGAGCAACCAAGAACAGAGGTCTTCTCACACAGATACATCTTCCCCAAAATCTCTCTCCTTCTGGCTATTACTTTCTTCAGGTTCAAAGAACAGAAAGCACTTTTCTTATTTGCCTTTAGTTAATTGGTATTTACTTATACTACCTTGTTTAAATACACCATTACTGCTTCTGTATTGCCGCCTGGTAGGGCACAACTTCACATAACCTCCTTCAGAGGACACCAAGTCCTGGCACTTCTCAGTGCATACCAGGTGTGCTTCTGCACTTCTGAACTTGAAGTTAAGAAAGCAGATCAGGAAGTTTCCCAACACCTTCTTTGTACTGTCAATTGTATAGGGAAGGGATCAGCAGAGCACTCAGAAGGTAGGCCTCCTTTCTCCATCACTTACAAGCAGAACACTTGTGTGACTCCAGGTCAGCCTGTGACGTGACCAAGTTTTAGCCAAAACTCACTGAAAAGCTTCCTGCAATAAAACTGAGTACTTCTCTGACTTAAATTTAGATATAAGAAGCTGCCCAGGAGAGTATCTTGATACTTAAGATCTACTTTGGTTTAAGTTTTTGTTTCTTTGTTTGTTTTTTGTTTTGTTGGGTTTTTTTGTTTTGTTTTTGTTTTAAATCACAGTCCTTACTCAGTGTAAAAAAAAGTGTTATCAACTTATTCAGGTGGCACTCTCAAGGTGACTTATGGACTTTGACTCATACTTATGTTGGTTTACAGGGTTGCCAGCTACCTGTTCAACCCAGGATTTATGGCTGATTCCCTGGAACATTATTACACCAACTGGCTGCAATGTGGTCTCACATCCTCTGCCTCTGACAAGTGAATGTGCAAGGTGACATAGGGGGAAGGGACAATGACAGATCAGGGCACCACAGCTAGCTTCTACACAAAGCTTTACCACAGCTCACCTGTGAAAGCCCTTCTGTCACAAGATACAATGCTTTACATTTCTATTCATTCTGTATATAGTATTGATCTCAGGTATACCACTGGGTTGATCTATCTTGTTTTTAATTAATTCTCCCTGTAAGCACCCCATGTCCCCTTAACTATTATTGTTTTCTCGTCAGTGATAGGTGCCACAAGAACTAACAGAAAATAAACAAACTCATTCTTTGCCTTTTCTTTACTTCAGCCAGACACAGCCCCGCTGCCTAACTTTACAAACTATTTCTATCCTCATGCCTTGTTACTCATCCCCACTTCAGATAGATGTACATGCCCATACAAGCTTCTTTCAACTCAAAAATATCAGTATATTTCATAGTACAAGCCAACCATTGATTCCTCTCATTCAATATACCGTCATTCCTTCATCTTTAGATTGCCAAGACACGAACATCCCTAATTATTTTTGGCTACCTCCATGCTGCTGTGCATACAAATCCATTATATAAATGGCATTTGCTGAGCCACAGCAACACAGTGCTTTTTAAAATAAATAAATATTTCATTATCTAATGCCTCTACAGTAGGAGGAACACAGTGCCTACCAACTCCATTTCACCCACATTCATATTCCCTTTGTTTGCCACTGTGCCTTTTCTTCCCGACCTCAGCACTGTAACGCAGATATGTCAGAAAATGGGGGGGGGGGGGGAAAAAAGCTCACTGAAGCCTGACAGGTGACTACTTTGAAACCCGAAATAAAATATAAACAAAGTCTTCTCTGCCTACTCTGCAACCCCTGGCTTTAAGTAAGCGATTCTACCCTTAAGCGAGGTTGCAGCGGTTGCCATGCTAGGCACTGCTCTCTAGCACAGGACACTGTTGTTTACTGCCTCATTTTTAATCACAGTGCAAGAGCCTACAGAGCAAGTTGAAGTGAGCTGAGGTCTGAAATGTATACAGCATCCTGAAAAACTCGCTTAACAATTGCATCACCAGGAAGCCTTTTACACAGAGCTGTGTTAAAAGGTGCAATTAAAATTGAATTACGCAGTTTCCCTCGTGACTTTCCCAAGAGGACAATGTTTTCTTTCATTCACTTCTATAGGTCGCTCTGACAAGTTTCGACATGCTCACTTGTTCAAAGTCTAAAAGGAACATGCACACACACTTAGTAACAGGAGGCAAAGCTTTGTTCAAGCAGTGTGCTGGTGCAGACCCTGGTACCTCTCTGGCTCAACCTAAACCAGCCTCCTATCTCTACAGGTACAGGAACAAAAAGTATCTGGCAAAGAAGGAAATGATTTTAGCTCAAAGTGACCGTCCCTCATTTATTCACAAAGGACAAACGTGACTCTGAAACATAATGGAAAGACTTGCTTGCAATAAAACATGGGTGGGTTAAAGCACTGTTTGAATACGACAACAGTTTCTTTAATTAATAGCAGCTTAAAAATATCCGTGTTGCTAGCTTAAGAGCACAGCTGCTTTGACAAAGACAATGGCTCTTTCATGTCACTGTTTCAACTGATGCTTATAAGTACTACCTTCCTAGTCAGTATATACTAAATCAAGCTCCTGCCCATAATTAAGCCATATGTTACTCTTGTGGGTTTTGTGTTATTTTGTTGTTGTTGTTTGCTTTTTTAATAAAGAATAAAAAATAAAAATCAATTTAGCTGAACAAGAAAAGCTTTTTAACTGTTAAATCATCAACTGAGTCAAAACTGCCTACGTAAGTAACTTCTCAGAAAGAAGTGGTCAAGATTTCAATACACAGCCCGCATCACTTTACAGAATAAAAAAGGCTGTGCTTCAAATCTCAAGCAGAAGAGTCCTCCCTCCTCTCCAGACTAAAGTTAGCTCACAGCAAAAGAAATTTTAGAAAAGTATCTTTAAGCCACATTAACATATTCAAAGCTTTCTTAGCACAGCTGCCTCAAAAGCTGCAAATCAGACTGGGGGGGAAGGAAGAAAACAAGTTCAGATGCGTGCACAGTCAGAGAAAGGAAAGCACATCCAGGAACTAAAATGTAGCTTTAAAAATCACAACTTACGCTTCTGAAGTAGGTCTCTGTTTGTAATAGATGGAGCACGAGCTATCACTGCTCAGAGGTCTGAGCACTGCACACAGGCACCGCATTTTGAGAGCGTTGTGGCACAGCTCAGCTCAGCAACCCTTCAACTGCTGCTTTCAGTTCCCAACTTCTCAGCTGAGCTCCTCACTCAAGGACTGCTGATCAGCGTATGACATCAGCCTGCACACTTGCAAGCTCAGAGATGCACATAAATGGGGGAGGCACAAAGAGCTTTCTGACTCAAGCTGATCTGTATTCCATGCTCCAGTTACATGGAGTAATTGCGATGTTTCAGCTTCAGAAGCTTTCCCCAAACTGCTAAGCCAGTGATGCAAACACAGAATATACGTGGGACTCATTATCTAAAAAAACTGAAAGATCTAACAAAACTAATACTTGAACAAGTGGAGTTCTGCAAATAGCTCCCAGCTATTCTTCCAGCTGAAAACTGGCTCAGAACTTATTTTACAATAAAAGCAACAGAGATTACTGATTTGAAGCTTCTTCTTGAGCAAAATATTTTTCTTTTAGAAACATTTTTCATCCACATTGTTTAAATAATGCTGTGTTTACCTTAAATGAAAGTCAAAAAGTTTTAAAAACCTGTCTT